CTGCTTCAAGGATCTCCCCCTTGAATGGTCTAAAAACCACACATTGATATTTAACTGGGAATGTGACGAACCCAGTCCCATCTCGAATCAGCCCTTTACCAATGTTATCAACTCCAGTTATCGCCACAACAAAGCCATGCCGACCACTATAAAAGCACCCATGGAAAATCAAAATCCATAAGAATAAACAAGATAAATGGTCACCTAAAAGCACCATTCAATCCCAACAAAAATACACACAAGCCCTGTAAATTTCAGTGACACACAAAGAATGGAATGCCGCAACAAAATTTATAGAGAGAGAGAGAGAAAAATAGATGCAGGAAAAGGAAGAAAAACATTTGATATCCAAGTATAAAGCTTGAAGGTTTGGGAATTTACCTGCAAGTACCTTCGACATCTTTCATGAGCTTGGCAATAAGCTTGTCTCTTAGGTGGGGACCAAAGTGTCGAGGATGCAACTGCATGTTACGCTCCAAATTTATGTGGAAGAACATCTTGCCCTGACTGCAATACAAAGCTTTCTAATTCAATTGATAGAATCCAAACACGAACTTTCATTCTTAAAATACCACATGTAATACTCCACCATTAAAATAGCATATTCCCACCATTATTCACATAAATCACCATTAAAAAACCAGTGATTCTCAATAGTATTTGTTATGGGTTTCCTTTTCAGGTTTGGGTTAACTGAACTCGAACCCACTCTCTGCAAATGGGGTAGAATCATCGAATGGGAGAAAAAAAAAAACAAATACGGAGCAGTTGAAGATGAAAGATAGAAAAAAAAACAAATAATTCATTCAAAAGAAGTGATAGAAATCTTCATGTAAGAGAGAGAGAGAAGGCTAGAGAGTTATAAGGTGACTTCCCTTGTGTGTGTGTGACAGAGAGAGAGAGTACCTCAAGAAGTAAGTAGGAGATGAGCAGAGGAAAATTTCCAGAGGGGCTTAGAGGGGGGAGGGGGCTTACAGGAAGAGAGAGAGAGTACCTCTGGTTAGGGAGATAAACAGGAGGAGTTTTCCCCCACGGACTTATAGAGAGAGAGAGAGAGAGAGAGCGGTAGGGGGTGCTGAGAGAGAACGAGGACAGGGGGTTAGAGAGAGAGGAAAGGCTTAAAGAGAGAGAGACAGAGACGGGGGATTCAGAGAAAGAGAGAGGGGCTTTAAGGGGAGTTGAAGAGATAACGGGGGTAGGTTGGAGTTGCTAAGAGGGAGACAAAAGGGGGCTTAAACAACGACCCTCAAAAATTTCACTCAAAGAAGTTGTTTTGATGCCCAAAGTATCTTCGAATTGATCGTCTCAAAAACAAGTATGGACATTAGAAAAAAAATGGATACCAACAAGTATGGACATGAGAAAAAAAATGGATATCAAATTTTGAAAATAATATATTTTATAATGCTAATGTTTTTAGATTTTTAAATTTTTATATATATCTTGCATGCATTATTTTTTAAATTTGAAACTTTATAAATATCTCTTGCCTGCATTATTTTTAAAATTTGAAACTTTATAAATATAAATAAAAATATATTCTAAGGTTAAAAACAAGATTTTAAGTATTAAAACCACATTTCTTCGTACTAGTTGACTGTAGGTTCTAATTTGATTGTTGAGAGAGCCTAGGCTTGGTACAAAACCATACCTATTATATAGAAAGAGAGAGTCAAAGAGGGGGACTTTAGAAAGAGAGTGAGAGTCTTTAAGCGGTTTATGATAGGCGAGGATAAAAACTATGGTTTAGAAATAAAAAATAAGGGATTTATTTGTTATGAATTTTTAAATATTTTTTATCATTTTGATAAAGATTGAAAAGTGTTTTCAGGATGAATATTTACTTTTTATATTTTTATAAATATTTAAAATACTTCTAAGCATAAATTAATTTTTGAAAAAAATATGTTTTTTTTTTTTTTTTGAATAATTCAGTAGGGATACTAGCCTCGACCTATTTTTCAAATCGTTAGTGGTTTTTATAATGCGTTAGATGATAATGGAAGCTTAGACTTTAAACTTTAGTTGGGGCACAAATGTTGCAACCACTACAACCCCGACCCCATTCTTAAATTAATTATTTTTTAATTTCATTCGGATGTGCTTTGTTTAATCATGTTTTACAAATAATTTTTAGATTTTTTTTATTTTTATTTTTTAGCTTTTTTTGACAAGTCAAAACTGACCAATTAGCCCTAGGCCAGTTTTTAAAGTCTATTCAATTTTTCGAATACTAGAAGAGAAACATAAAGATTTATAATATTTGGAACAAAAAAAGACAAAAAGATTTGTGTGATTAATATCATACAAGTACGAAAAATGTAAGGGATTACAAGTTCACTCTCAAACCTTAAATTATAGTCTTTCTCCACAAACAATTATATAACATCTAAAAATAACTAATTTTCTCTCTATTTTTGTAGATTCTAATTTTCTATTATGTATAAACTATAAAGAGATACACCAAAGAGACACATGATGCCTTCTTACTCCCATCTCAAAAGGAGTGGGAAAGCCAATCTATATCCCTAATAAAGGAAAAGGCATGTATCTATATTTCTCCTACAACGTAGAAGATCTATACTTCTCCTACCATCCAGCCAACCAATTTTGATCAAGAGAGTCACTTACCGTTTGATTTTAGATCCAACGTCTCAAAGTACTTTTTTTTTAGTTTTGTTTTTATACTAATTGTATGAATATGAAATTTGGTACGTGCCATCTTTTCATTGGGGCGCATCTATAAAAAATATTAAAAATAATTTTTCATTAAAATATAATGACCAAAATATCCCTTGAAAATTTTAGGTATATTTTGGTTATTTAATTTTATTGAAAATATTTTTTTATATTTTTCACTAGTGCGAGTTTAATAGCGGATTGGACCTCCAAAATTTGGTGTCAAAATAGTTTATAGAAAAAAAATTAAAAATAAAATAGTGTAGAGACATTACATTATGATTGAGGCAATCTTAGTCTTCCATTTAGAATGGACAGTGGGATAAGGAAAAATATATAAGTTTTAGGAAAATGGCTTAAAATCTCAAATATGAACTTTCTAGGCACTTTACTCTAACCTAACTTTTTCTAGCAACTCCCCCCCCCCCCCCCCCCCCCCAAAAAAAATTATGTTTCTTAGCAAATACCTCAAATACAAAAAGTTTTTTTTTTTAATGAAAATACTCTTCCTTTACCTAACAAATCATTTTCACTGGAGATGGACGTTTTTTTTAATGAAAATACTCTTCTTTTACCTAACAAATCATTTTCATTGGAGATGGCGGTCCAACGTTTTGAAGAGACGGTCGGGCGATTATTCTCCAATACAAAAAGTTCTTATTTTATATACAAAAGTGCCCTTCCTTTGCGTAACAAATCATTTTGGCTAGAGATGGCAGTCCGGTGTTTGGAAGAGGCGGTTCGGCGATTATTTCACTGGAATAACTGTCGGAAGTTTCATTGTGGTGGTCTCGAGATTGTGCTATTGGAGAAATGAGCAATCCGTTTTGAAATAGCAATCCGAAATTTTGAAGGAGTAGTCCGGCGTATTGAAGTGGCGATACGGTATTGGAGAAATGAGCAATCCGTTTTGAAATAACAGTCCGAAATTTTGAAGGAGTAGTCCGGCGTATTGAAGTGGCCATACGACATTTTAAAGGGGACAAAGTAGCTCCGGCGTTTTGAAGTGAGCAGTTCAGCTATTGGGTGTTTCTTTTTAGTGAGAAACAAAAATGGTATTTTCTTAAAAAAGATAAAAATAAACTTTTTTTAGTGGGAAACAAAAATGGTATTTTCTTAAAAAAGATAAAAATAAACTTTTTGTATTGAGGGATATTAGCTAAGTTAAGTTTAGAAAAAAATATGTTAGAAAAAATTAGAGTGGGATAAAATACATAAAAAAAAATTCTTATTTAAGCGATTTTGTATGTCGTACGGGAAGCATACAAACCTTGTCGTAGGGGAAGCAGAAACCTTGCCCATGACCCTTATCCGCGAACTTCCTTAATCACGAGGACCAATTAGTCATTGTAAGTTAAACAAAATTAGCCTCTGTTGCCCGCAATAAAAACAGGAGAGACGGAAAAGAGCTCCATTGTCGAGCGCGTCTCAAACCCTAGATCAACTTTACTCTCGCAGAACTCCAGTAAGTGGGATTTTATATATTTTTTGTAATTTTATATTTAGAGAGAGAAAGAAAAAAGGGAGAGAAAAATTTGTATTTTTTCTTCTGAATTTGGAGAGAGGGAAAGGGTGACAATAGAGAGGGGGGGAGAGAGATTCGTATGCTTTTTTTTCTTTTATACCGTTTCCTGTATAGGCATGTTCTCATTCTCCATGAACAATAAACAAAACAATCGTAGAGTGCCTTTAATTCTACACAGAAAAGAACCCAAAAGGCAACCTTTGAAGTCTCAATTACCAGGGTTTTTCTCTTCTAATCTGACTCTTATTATCGGATACATTCCTTTAGAGTCTTATTTCTCATAACTTCTTTGCCAAATTCGTGGTTTTTTCAGAGTTCTTCTTTCCTCTTTAAATCAAAATTTTCGAGTTTGATTGGAGTTGATTGAATAATTAAAGGGGAATGTTGGCCTCACTACTGAGTCTGAATTTGCTGGTTCGACAAACTTTATATTGATTTGGGTTGGGTTTTTTAGCTGATTCTGTATCCCCCTTAACTTGTTTCAATTGGGTTGATAATACTAAGGAGTAGAAAAGGAAGTTGGGTTGGTCAATTCCAGATAGATAGAGAGATTGGCCATATTTTATACCAATTTGATTTGGGATTTTGCAGTGAGAGTTTTTCTCCCCTCTTCCTGCTTGAATTCAGCTGACGATTAGGGCAGAAGCAACTAGAAAAGAGGGAAAGAACAGAAAAAAAAAAAAATACATTAATCAAAGACTAGAGAGTACTTATGTTTTCCCAAAACATGAGGGATTTTGATACCAAAAGAATTCGAAATATATGCATTCTTGCTCATGTAGACCATGGAAAAACGACCCTTGCCGACCATTTAATCGCTGGTTCAGTAAATGGATTGGTGCACCCAAAACAAGCTGGAAAGCTAAGGTTCATGGATTATCTTGACGAAGAACAAAAGAGAGCCATCACAATGAAAAGCTCTTCAATAGCTTTGGAGTACAAAGACCACCTCATCAACCTCATCGACTCACCTGGTCACATCGACTTTTGCAGTGAAGTCTCTACAGCTGCTCGTATAAGTGATGGTGCTTTGGTTCTCGTTGATTCAGTAGAAGGCATACACATTCAAACCCATGCGGTTTTGAGACAAGCGTTTGTCGAGAAGTTAACCCCATGTTTGGTTCTTAACAAGATTGATAGGCTTATCTCTGAGCTCAAATTAAGCCCCATGGAAGCGTATAACAAGTTGCAGAGGATAGTTCATGAGGTTAATAGCATCATGAGCACCTATAAATCAGAGAAATACCTTTCAGATGTGGATTCCATTCTTAACCAAGAGAACCAGGATGGAACCAAGAATTCATGGAGGAAGATGAAGAGGATACATTTCAACCCCACAAGGGTAACGTGGCTTTTGTGTGTGCCTTAGATGGGTGGGGCTTTTCTATCAAGGAATTTGCAGAGATTTATGCTAATAAGCTTGGGGCCAGCTCGGGAGCATTGCAGAAGGCTTTATGGGGTAGCTATTTTTTCAATCCTAAGACCAAGATGATAGCCAGCAAAAAAGGAGCTGGCTCAACTAAGACTAGTAGTAATAAACCCATGTTTGTTCAGTTTGTGCTTGAACCTCTATGGCAAGTTTATCAGGCGGCTATTGCAGGGGATCAGGGAATGTTAGAAAAGGTGATCAAATCATTTAATTTGTCTATACCAGCTCGTGAGCTTCAAAACAAGGATCCCAAGGTTGTTCTCCAAGCTGTTATGAGTAGGTGGCTTCCTTTATCTGACACTATTTTGTCAATGGTTGTTCGATGCATGCCTGATCCTATTTTGGCACAGTCGATTAGGGTATCTCGGTTGCTACCCAAGAAAGAGGTTGAGAATGGTCACAATGGATTTGAAGAAGTACTAGCCGAAATGGAGCACGTGAGAGAATCAGTTGAGCAGTGTGATTCTAGAGATAAGCTCCATGTGTAGCGTTTGTTTCTAAAATGTTTGCTCTCCCAATAAAAATGCTCCCAAAAAAGGGTCCAAATGGTGAAATTCTGAATAGTATGGAGGAGGAAAATGGAGTTGGGGACTCAGATTCAGGGAGCCAAGAGTGTTTTCTTGCATTTGCTAGGGTTTTCAGCGGGGTCTTATCAATGGGTCAGAAGATTTATGTGCTCTCTTCGCTATATGATCCGTTAAAAAGTGAATCTATGCATAAGCATGTTCAAGAAGGGGAAATCCAGTCCTTGTATATGATGATGGGTCAAGGTTTGAAGCCTGTTTCCTGTGTGAGAGCTGGTAATGTGGCAGCTATTCGAGGCCTTGGCCAGAATATATTGAAAAGTGCAACCCTTTCTTCAACGAAGAGTTGTTGGCCTTTTTCAAGCTTGATATTTCAGGTGGCTCCCTCTTTGAGGGTGGCTATCGAGCCCTCAGACCCGGCAGACATGGGTGCCCTTATGAAGGGACTTAGGCTCTTGAATAGGGCAGACCCATTTGTCGAAATTACTGTTTCTTCAAGGGGTGAACAGGTACTTGCAGCAGCTGGAGAGGTTCATTTAGAGAGATGCATAAAGGATTTGAAGGAACGGTTTGCTCGAGTGAGCTTGGAAGTCTCGCCTCCTCTTGTTTCTTTTAAGGAGACCATAGAAGGGGATGATTCTAATGCTATAGATACATTGAAGAAGGTCTTGTCAGGTGGCTTTGATTATGTTGAGAGAACCACTCCAAATGGTAGATGCGTAGTGAGGGTCCAAGTTATCAAACTCCCTTCAGCTCTTACCAAGGTTCTTGATGAGAATGCTGGTTTTTTTGTACATATATTTGAAGGGAAATTGGGGCTAAGAACTCCAAGTATGGCTAAACACAGAAAAGATGAATCTGCTAAGGATGGAGACCAAACTCAAGACTCGGTCGCGATGCTTAGAAAACAGTTGCTCACCGCCATTGAGAGTGAGATATGCCAAGAAACTGACAAGGAGAAGTTTGAAAAGCATAGAGCTCTTTGGGTTGAGTTTCTTCAAAGGATTTGGGCACTTGGGCCTCGACAAGTAGGCCCTAACATCCTCCTTGTCCCTTATTTAAGGGAAGGGGAGGAAAGACCCGAGCATGCCTGTGTCTTGATTAAAGGGTCACCCCACGTATCTGAAAAGCTAGGATTCATTGATTCCTCCAAAGCTGTATCATCAGTTGAAGAAGCATCTGAAAGAGAACTCAGGTCTCTTTCCATGGAAGCTGAGAGCTTAGCAAGCAGTGTGGTTTCTGGTTTCCAATTGGCCACACAAATTGGACCTCTCTGCGATGAACCAATGTGGGGTTTGGCCTTTCTGGTTGAAGGTTCTGTCGTCCCGCACAGGAATCAATCTGATAATTCTGATCAAATCCAACTTCCCGATCAATATGGGATCTTCACTGGTCAGGTTATGACTGCTGTTAAGGAAGCATGCAGGGCTGCTGTTCTCTCTAGAAAGCCAAGGATTGTTGAAGCCATGTATTTTTGTGAGCTTACTACACCAACAGAGTGTTTGGGAGCTATGTATGCTGTTCTTGCTAGGAGGAGGGCCAGGGTCTTAAAAGAAGAAATGCAAGAGGGTTCAGCATTGTTTACTGTTCATGCTTATGTTCCCGTTAGTGAGAGTTTCGGGTTTGCTGATGAGCTTAGGAGGTGGACTTCCGGGGGTTCGAGCGCTCTTCTTCTTCTTAGCCATTGGGAAGCTTTGCATGAGGACCCTTTCTTTGTACCCAAAACTGAGGAGGAGATTGAAGAGTTTGGGGATGGCTCTAGTGTTTTACCAAACACTGCAAGAAAGCTTATTGATGGAGTGAGAAGGCGCAAAGGGCTTCCAGTTGAGGAGAAGGTGGTTCAGCATGCAACAAAACAAAGAACCCTAGCTCGAAAAGTGTGAGAATTTTGAAGCCATCCCATTTCTTGGGGGCTTCCATTTTGCAATCTTTCTTATAAATTCACATCAATTTTGGTAAAAGTTTCTGTTAGTGTACGGCTTTTACTTCTTGATTTTTAATTGAGCTTATTATATATATCTTCATTCTTCATCGCAAGGTATTCATTCCATATTGAACTTTCTTGGGTGTGAAATCTTTAATTTGAGTATAGTAGATGGCAAGTAGTTTAACTAAATAGAAGGAATTATATTGCAAGTGGTTTAACTAAATAGCAGAAATTGTATGGCTCTCAAACTTTCAAAACTTTGTATGGCTCTCAAACTTTCAAAACTTACGCTAGATTTTTGGATCTTTTGGACACAAGAAAGTAAGCAGCCATTGATTTGAATTCATATCTAATTTTTGCCGATTCTCTTTCCCTTCTTATTCTCTCTCTTTCCCTTATCTCTTCCCTTCTCTCATTGTGATTGTGCTATCACATCCTTTCTCTCATTGTGATTGTACTACCATTGGTTTTAATTCTTAGAATGTTATTATAAATAAAACCTTAATTTTCTTTGGATGATGAAATATATTTGGTACGCAGTCTTGTGTACTTGTGCACCATGCCCCTGTCTTGGACAGAGAGAGAGAGGGACAGAGCATCAAGGCAACAAGATTGGAACTCTTTTGGTTCAAAAGGTGGGAACTCTTTTGGTTCAACGGGATTCTATAGCGCGTTTTAATCATTTTATAAAATGTATGTTTATCTCTTGCGAGAACCACAATCTTTTTTTGTGGAAATTTATTAAAATACACATGCTTTAAAAGCTATTTAATATTTGGTGTGGTTTGTATGGAGCTTAGGCTCTAAACAATCAAATTAGAGCCTTCCTTCGAATACTGTCGAGAAATGTAGTGTCAATACTGAAAATATTTGTGATAGCTTTAAAATATATTTTCATCTTTATTTATAAAGTTTGAAGCTTCAAAAATAGTGTAGATCGATAGATCTATAAAAACTTGAAAATTAACGGTCCAAAAATGTATTACAAAATGCGTAAGTTTTAAAATTTGAAATCTATTTTTTTTCTCATGTCCATGCATCTTGATGTCGAGATGATGAATTTGAGCATATTTGGGCATGAAAACATCTTCTAGAAAATTTTTTGAAGTAGGTTCAAATTTGATTGTTTAGAGCCTCGGCTCTATATAAACTTTTCCCTTTAATATTTTATCCAATTTTAAGTATTCTAACACATGGTCATGTATTTTACCAATACACTTCGCAATGACAAAAATCACATTCACTTTTTACATAGTCAAAAGTATACAGAAAGGGGTACTTTAAGTAATTTTACTATTCACATAAAAAAACCCAATGACATTTATATACTACATTATTAAACCAATATCATTTATATACTACATTATTAAACCAAAATTAAGGGATTGATATGTGTCAAAAGAATAAAAAAGGACCTTATGTATAAAAAGATTATGAGATACATGTTGAGACTACTAAAAATAATGTCTCTAAATTTTAATGTGTAAACTCTAAAGAAAGAGAGAAAGAAGGGGTTTATTTTTTTTTAGAATCTCGTAAAATTTTGAAAGAGAATATTAAAGAGATATCAACACTCAAAAAGAAATATTAAGAAGATATCTATTAAAATTTTAAAAGATGATGTGGAAAAGAAAGATCTTAAAATTTTGAAAGATTCTATGTAAAAGGGGTCTTATATGGTCTTAAAGACGTACACACGTGGATTCTAAATATTGCGAAAGGGAAAGATGCCATAGAAGGGGAGGAGAGAGAGAGCAAGAGAAACTCTTAAATTGTAAGAGCGAGAGAGTTGGATAGAACAATAAAAAAGATAAAATTAAAATACATACCTTTAAGAAGAGATTGAGAGAGCGTTCACATTCCATCTTAAGGAAAATAAAATTAAAATACATATATTTAAGAAGAGATTGAGAGAGCTTTCACATTCCATCTCAAGAGAGATATAAAGAGAGAAGAAAGTTGAGGATATAGAGAGAGAGACTCCCAAACGACGAAGAGAGAGAGGGGTTGTGAAAACAAAGGAGGGAGGGTACGTTTTTTTTAATATATTTTTTATGAAAATTGTTCATAGAATCATTACTCTTTTTAAATATTTACAAAAAAATGCCATGATTAATAAAGATTACTACAACGCAAACCTAGTGATTTTTTCTATTAGTAATATAAATTAAAATAATCATTGTGTTGATTTTTTTGCTTTACTTTTCCTTTAACATTTTTGTATCTAAAAAAATGTTATGCTTTTATATTTGATGATCGATACTTTTTATCACATGCAACACACACACGTGCTTCTTACTGGTATATATTATCATACAAAGCTGAGAAGAGACCCAGTTTATTATGGTAACACATGTACTTTTGAATTTTAAGTTGGACGAGGTTTCTATCAGCTGATTCATATGCACACATGCAGCCCCCTTCTAAAATCCATTTTAAGGATAGATTTTTCAACTCAGTTTTTTATTTTTATAGATTTATCATCTTGGCTAAGATGATCATAAATGTGAGAAGATAAATAAATATTTAGTTATTATTTTGTAAACCATTCATACATTATTTATGTTGCACAACGTCCATGTTAGGATGAACGTTCGCTATTGAGCTGGCTCGCTTACTCACGCTACACTTTTCTTTTCTTTTTTTTTAAGTTTGCCCATTCTTATGGTTTTTTAAGTGTCAATGATGCTTCAAACTATATTTGACTTACAATCTGCTATGACTATCATGATTTTCAATAAATTATGATGCCTTTACGGTTCTAAAACTATCGTGAAGGCTATTTTCGTCCATTCACTTAAAATATAGGTATTGATGAGGTTTTAAAAAGTTTGAAGTTTATTTTCAATAATCCAAATATTAAGGTATATTTTTTTATAAGTTTCATAGAAATTTTTGGAATTTTTAGAATTTTTTATTAATTAATGGACAGTTTTAAAGAGTAACCAAACTCACATGTAAAAATGTGGCCCCCTCC